CAAGGCAAGTACGTTATTACTTTGCAGCTAGATGAAAAGGAAAGCTCATTATCACAGAAACACTCAATTATGGTTACTTACAGCATTTCCCTCTCGTGATCCTTTGGCATTACTAAACAGAGGCCGCGATTCTATTCCCATTAAAATCTAAGAATAGATTCCCTGGGGAAAAGATCAAGGCTAATCTGCGTATTATTTCAGAGATGTTCTCACCGGCATCTTCCCAAAACAGAACATCCAAGTTTTCTTCACCAGGAAAGCCTCCTAGGTTACCACTTTCCTGATCTTGACAATCCATTTACCTCAGCAGTCTCACTACCAAACCAAAAGCCAAACACCGCTTACGAAAAAGGATCCAAGAACAGTTGTTTCTTGTGGTGAAGCTTGTTTCTTTGATGAGCCTGCTTAATATGAGCACGTGACAGCTTTTTTAACGCCTGCAAGTTCCTGGTAAACGTTGCACACTGAAGCACGACTCCAGTAGGACTCTCATGCTCACTCTTTCCTGTTCCTCTCACACTGGGAACAAAGCTGGCAAATCACAAAGGCACCAGTGAAGTTTAGAGTACACTATACAGTAAGGAGACTGTGGGAACATTTTCCAGTTACCAATTTAGTACAGTTTGTTGGAAGAGTATGCAGTTACCAAAAAAGAAGCCTGAACTAAACCACAAACTACATTTATCATACCGTAAGAACCTCTTTCCTATAACAATTAATTCTTCATAAATAGTCTGTTGAGGATGAACCAGAAAATAAGAATTCAATTTTGAGTACAATTGTGACACTGTCACATTTAAGTTCACTGTAGCATGAAAATTGGAGACATCAGAAAACTGGGAAAACCTTTCACATTTGAACAGCTGCTAGCTCAGTAATTGGGATCTCCCACATCATGAGAGATTACCCTAACCTCCGGCTATCAGTGTTTCTGGGGTGCATCATATTTTATCTCTAATTTAGACCAGAAACTGCATTCTGGAAAATGTTCCTGGCAAGGGTTTACTATGTCTATAAAATTGTATATTCTGTTTAAATAAAGGCCAAGAATTCCATGCTAGCTGTAGGCTTATTGCTTCTTTCTTCCATCTGCAGCTAGCTATAGGAATTACCAAAATAAATAGCTACAGAAAGCAGTAAGCAAAGATTGCTGGTTCAAAGGGAAAGTTAGGTTGTAAAAGTTAGTTTCTTAATCTCAAGAGTATCCTGGTAGCAGAAGAGACTCACACAAGGACAGACACAATTTACTGCCCCTAAGAAAATGCTGTCAATTACATTGTAATTCTAGAGGTAGAGCAGCTCTGCAAAATGCACACGGGCACACCTGCTAACTTTTCCAGCAGTGCAATGCTTGGCCATCCTGGCACCAGCGCACGATGAGAGCGAACCCTGAACCCATTTCACTTGTGCACAGATGTAGTCCTTCAGAGTCACTGCAGAATACAAATACTCAAAGTTCTGCATCCTATTTTTAACTTGCAAATTGTACTGATACAAAAAAATATAAGCCCCCCCCGCCCCCCCAAGAATTATTTGAGATTCAGAGATGGCTATAAACTACAAAACTTGCTGATAAGAGCTCATTGCAAAGAAGCATGGTCAGCAAGCCCATGCTCTCCTCCATAAATATTTTAAATGTTCACAAAACAGTACCAAAGAGAGAGAAAGACACTAAAAAAAATGTATTTTACATTCCCTTTCCTCCCACTCCTTTTAACAGTGGACAGACAGAAGGAGAGCAATGGCAGCTCCTGCCCAAATAATTTAATCGATCCAAACCTGATCAATCTTACAGCAGACAGTACCAAGAGGAACAAAAATGAGCCACCATCTGTGGCGTCTTCTGGGTGGCAGCACAAGTAACATTTTGTGAGTGAGCTGACACTCATGTCAGAGACAAGAGACGCATGATGCTTTAGCAGAAACTTTTGTATCATTCTAAATTTATTTTTGATAATCTATATTGAAAGAAATATTGATGCTAGGAGTAGCAGGCTGCTTTTTTTGTGAAGGATGCTAACACCACACATTCACAGTTGCACAGCACACTTACGTAGCTGTCATTGTACCCTTGTGGTGCAACACAAACCAATGCCCCTCTGAAACTACAATTCACTACTGGCAACACAATACCTGAAGTTCATTCAGAGCTCTTTGCCCTTCCTGCTGCTCTGAAGAGATCAAAGAGCCACCCTGAACGTGCAGTGTGAAGGAAGCTGCTAAAAGCCCACACGCGCTGAGGAAGCCAGGAATGTTATTTTGGAGACATGCTCATTCATTTTGTGAGGTAAAAATTTACAGTAGCGGAAGCAATAACAGTGAAGAAAAGTCACTTGATACACAAGCGCCAGTCTTCCTTTCAGCAGACAGATCCAATAGATTAATTGCTAAAGTGCCGTCAAATATCTGACAGATCAGACCCAAATGGCATGGTGTGCTCACACCACCTACGCAGCAGGCAATCTGAGTCTTAAAAGTAAAGTTACAGCCTTCTTTGCCATAAGGTTTCCAAACGGGCATGTCGCACAATTATTTATGGACATCTGCCCAGACCTTCAGATGAACACCCCAAGAGACACAGGCTTCCACCTCAAACTCAGTGGCGGCATCTCAGTTCTCCAGTTTAACTATTGAATTACTGATTGCTTCTGCAGACAGCCAAAAGGGTGAGAAAAGCTGACAGAGAAGAATTAGAAGTTACCACGGTGGTGGAAAACTCAAAATAGAAAGGCAGAGATGGGGAGGGAAGGAGAGGCTAGTGAAGGACTACGGGGACATGGAAGAAAACACGAGGGGAGTACTAAGGGAGGGGGATGCTGTGGAGAGAGAGGGGGAACCACAAACCTCACCTCAATATGAGAGACCCAGGAACCCAGCACTCGAAAGCTGAGCCACCCTCTGCATTCACTGGCTCTCTCCCAGGAGGGTCACTATGGTTGGGAGCGAGGCTGTGCTGTGGTGGCACCTCCAGCACTCGCTTTCCTGCTCCCTGTCCCCTCTGTTACCGCCAGGACTGGGCTTCTCCTGCCTCTCACCTCCACACTAAGTGGCTGGAGGAGCCCAGGGCTTGACAGAGGCCCCTCAGCACGCCCCAGTGTCCCCTAAACCACCCCAGAGGCAGGACGAGCACAAGGCTGAGGCCTCAAGCAACCATCCCTCCTCTGAGGGAAGCGTGAGGCAACCACCAGCATAGCCCCAAAACCACAGCAGCCCCCTCTGCCACGCAAAAGCCTCAACCCAACGAAACACGTGGTTTAATGCTGCCAACGTGGTCTGTGGTCTTGAAAGCCCCTGCCTGCCGCCTGGCACTCCGGAAAAGCAGATAAAATGGATGAAAGGGCTGCTGCTGCCCCCTCCACAAGCTCTCTGAGGAATGGTGCTGGACCCAGGTGTTCCTTGTTATCCACCCAGCCCCACAGCTGCCGCCCCTCAGGACGGGCTCCCAGCACACAGATTGTTCCAGGAAACTCTCTTCCAGCCTTAGCAATTGACTAACACACCAACCTCAGGTTTTAACATACACTGTCACACACATGGCTGTGCTTTGACATGGGTAGTATTTCTAGGTCGGGGTTGAATTGGAGCTCTTCGTGCTCTTCTTTGGCCTGGGGCTGGCCAGAAATCCACACAGAGCATTTTTGCAAGAGCAAGAGAATCAAGATTACCACAACAAACAGGGAGGGAGGGCACAATGGCCATTTTACTCGTGTACAATCACCACTCATCACACAACGCACCAGCAGTTCTGAGAGCATGTCTTCACTGTGTGTTCTCCATTCAAAGGGAGAAAGAAAGCCAGTTTTTAAAAACTAGGGCAAAGGCCAGTGAATTACCAAAAGTTATTTATACAAAGGATATCAGAGGACCAGCTTTGTGAATGGAGAACTTATATGAGCTTCTGTAAGCTGAAAGAAAACATGTTTTGCCCCCAAATTTGATTATCAGCTGGAGGCAGCACTACTTCATTGATGAGAGATTTCCAAGGAGAACTTTGCAGAACTAGGAAGGACCAAAAGTGAGGATTAATACGCATTTCTGCTATATGTTGTCTGACACCAAAAGAAACCCATTTGTCTGACCTGTAGTATATTTATATACCCACATCTTATGGCTTGTTCTAGCTATCCATGACTTCATCAGTAAAAGGTGTTTAGGGTTTGTCTGATATTAAGTGGCCAGACAGAATGCATTAGTCTAGAAATGGATTATTAAATTCCGCTGTCAAACTGAAGTAGTCAATAAATACAGTGGAATGCAAGTGCTTTAATCATATACTGCTTCATGTGTACTTTACTGTTAAGAAGTTCCCATACTGTAGGATTTCAGTCCTATTTTGATTTCTTCCTTGCCTAATTCTTTACTTTCTTCTGTCAGGCTTTGCCCTACCTCAGGGTGTAGTACAGTCAGCTACTGAGTTGCCGACATCTTTGGGAACTGCCCCTGCTCAGAAAAGTGGGCCAAGTCATCACCACATAAAGATCCAAAACCCAGGGAATTCAAACCACTCACACAGTCAAAGCATCACAAGTCAACTCTGTTTCTTTTAGGTACAAAAGGACATGCTTCCAGGGCGATGTGAAGACTCCTTTCAAAATGCAAAGAAAGATTCTGTAAAATGCAGAAAACCGCTGCCATTAAAGTTATAGGATGCAAAACTGTGACAGCCCCACCACCTAACCTGCCAACTCAACAGTAATACTAGAAGTATTATCTTCAACTCACCTTCAGTCCAATCAACCAATTCTTTTTAAAAACACATTGTTGCTGCCTTCCAGCACAGCCCCTGCTGAATTTATTCCAATACAGATTCCCACTGTTCCTACACAGGATAACATCAGTAACCTGGATGAAACCAAAAGGACCAGAAGATTTTTTTTCTTTCTTTCTAAGAATTAAAGTACAGAATCTGTGGGATTTTTTAATTTGGCTGTTGGTAGGTTGGTTGTCTTCTGATCAGTTATCAAGCAACATATGCAGTTCTGAGTTAGAGCCACTTCAATCCCATAAACCTATTTGTGGGTCTTATTTCAGCAGAATTATTTTCTTCTCAAGAAATCTTAAGCTTTTGATACAGAGTTAAGAAGTCACATCAACTTTTAGGACTGTTTTAATTTTATTCATCTCCTCATTTACTCTGATCAGGATTAAACTGCATTAACAGAACTAGCACATTGTGGTCCTGCTGCAGACTGCATTAAGTTTTAAGCTTCCATTCACTCTATCAGGATTTTTCCAAAATGCTCCTGCTGTTAAAACACTGAACAATTCTTAGCAACCAATCACATCAAAAAATATTTAATTCTCCACCCTTCCTCCAAAAATATATGCAAAGATAAAAAATGCAGAAAATTCAAACCAGGTTTAAGGGTTGGATGTTTCTTGGTGTTTTTTAAGTCCCGATGATGCTGAGCACAGAAAGTCTGCATTTAAACTAGATAAAGCAATGCCCTCTAGTGTTCTGCAGAGAAATCTGGCAGAAGGCTCTTAAAAAAAAAATGAAGATGGTATAGCAATCCTAAACTCAAGTGACTGCCACATTTTAAAAGCTTACAGCTCACATGCAGCTTCCTTAGGATGTTGTGCACACAACAGTGACCTGTAGAATTATTTGGAATCCCTTCCTTTCCTTCCCTCTGTTGCTGATGCTTGCATCAGAATTTCATGTCAAGAGATGTAGTATTTTCCGAGCACACACTGATGGCTTAAGGAACATTTGGGAACAAGAGGGGCTTTTGAGAATCAGGCAAAAGCCTGATCCTTTCCTTCCCAGAGTTCACAAAATAAATGAAATCCACCTCCTCTCTCATCACCTACAAACGCCATCTGCACACAGTTCTATTTACAGTCTTCCCACCTGTGGCACATAACAAATCACATAATATCCACCCTGCACCCTCCCCAAGCACACACAGCATTTGCTACCCTGTGTTACTGACCCACCACACAAGCAGGATGATGTCTTTGGCTTGAAGAGCTCTCCTAGAGAGCTCCAAAGATTAGTGGATTTCCTCATAGCAGTTGCATTCCCAAGGTGTTGATAAATTACAAACAGAACCACACAAATTCAAGAAAGATTTAAATAAAGGAGAGCATTCTCATAGTTCAAAAAGACCCCTGCAGAGCTACCAAAAATATTTATTTACACCCTGTACACATTACAAAACTCAACTTTGCATCACACAAAGGACTGGAAGAGTTTTTATAACTGGAGGTCTGAAAAGCAAAAGGCAAAGTCCTTGATGAAGGCTGCTCTTAAATGGGCAGCTAGGAGTCCTTAAATTTTACCATCCATTGATCCTGAAAGGCAACTGCTGGGCTCTCACCATTAGACAGAATAGAAACTTGAATGCCTTTGATTAAACGTTTAATCACATCCAGTACTTTTAAAATAATTAACAACAAAAAAACCCATGTTGACTACTGTGCTTTTCTTTGTGTGCCATTGATCTGCAGCACAGAGAAACCACAGATCAAGAGCTGCAATTGGGGGTGATGGGGGGCAGTGTGGAGATTAAAATGAAAGATCAGTTCTGCCCATGTCCTAGCTAAAATAAGGGGGGAAAAGATGAAACAGTATGTTTTCTGGCAACCTAAGGGAGAATGGTACATTTAGAAAACTGCCAATGCAAAGACAGCACTTCAGCCATAAAGTTGCTAGCTGGAATTTGTTTCTTGTCTGGAACAATTTCAACAATTACAAGCTGGCCTATTAACAGTCTTTCACACTCTTATTAGGACATTCACTGAAGAAAGGTTAATACAGGAACGATTTCTTTAGAGGGAAGCTAGCTTGGCCTGTTTCACAGGGAGAGAGAGGCTTAGGTCTTCAGGCTAGGCTGCAACTGTAGTTCTGCAGAAATTATTGGCTATAAATGAAATACCCAATGAGAGCACACCTAGGGTAAACTCTAGACTTGACCTGACTCTTGTGATGAGCCTTTTAGGGCACTGTATTTGTACCCCTTCTTGTCTGAGGCTGCAATATAGAATTTGGATGTAGAAGTGGGATAAAGTTAGGAATTTTTAAAATTAGGTTTAAGCTTAGGAACTTCACTTTAAAATTTAAATTACATTCCTCTCTTTCAGAGGGCAACCAATATTTTTTCTAGTTAAACAAGCAGACACTTTTTTCTCTAATGGGGAATGGTTACTGCCAAGCATCCTGCCCCGCAAAGAAATTATTTTTGATCTTGTTATGCACGTAACCAAATTAAGGGAGAAAATAAAGCAGTTCAAAGACTATCCAAGAAACAGCCAAGGGAGGATATCCAGTGTTTGTACCACTGCACTGGGAACTATTTTCCCTTAGAGGTCTGACACAATACATTTGTGTGACTGACTGCGTGCACAGAACACTGTCCCAGAGAAACTATTTGTATATATATTTTTTAAAAAGCAGCTCTTGGGATCAGCTTCTTCCCTGTGTACTTTCATTTTGTTTGCAGGGGACAGTGTGGGGAAAAGACCATTCAAGATTCCAGGTACAAAAAAAGCAAGGGAAAGATCAGGGGAAGAAAGACTTAATCTTCAGAACACACAGGCTCCAGCTGACTGAACAAAATAGCTTTTCCACTTCCTTCAGTTTATTCAACAGTTTAGTGCATTTCAGACACATTCTCACCTCCAGGGAGAAGCAGAACCACCTGAAAGGGAATGGAGAAAAATGCTCCAGCATTCACAGAGAGGCCACACACACATACTGTCATATCTTGAGAAGATGTGTAGTTCCATGGGGCAGGGAGCGTTCTACTAGTGCTTCACTTCGCAAAGATGCCAAGAGTGTCCAGGTAAGACACTGAAACGGTCTGGAGTGCATGTAGTTTCATCAGTGAAGCATAAACTTGGCTCATCCATTCTTCACCTTGGCCGTCCTCTCACACAAGTGTTTCACTATGAGACTAGTGCTGGTGCATTCTCCTTATTTTCTTTCTGTGTGACCATCTGCAGGTACTTCAGTCGCACGGGAGGGAGCTGTTCATAAAGGTCAAACCCCAAAGCGCTCTCTGCGTTCAGCAGTCTGTAGTAGAGTAGGTGCTTTTTCAAGGTCTGAAGAAAGAAATAGCAGCCATTGAGCATGTCTGAAAAGAATCTAATCTGTTCCACCCTGTCTCCAACACCACATACTGACCTGTCAGTACAATTCCATTATGCCCAACATATTTAATTGCATCATCTTCAACAGAAGAGCTACAAAAGGTGACTTCCTTCTAAGAAAATTCACTTTTGATTTGCATGAGATTTCCTCTTCTAAGCACGACTCCACCACCTCAACAAGCCCTCAGAATGACTTCTTGCCAGAAGCCCAAATGGGGTTTTGAATGGGATCTAAGAATTTACGCTGGACACTAAAAAGGGCCAAATGACCCAGCTCTGGTCACACACGTGGTAGGCTTTGGCAAGCTCCCTGAGGAAAAGGGAAACCTTGCATCTGTTTTGTTCTTTTCCGGGGAACCATCCAACTAAGAGTTAAGGGATATCACACTGCTGGCCACCTATTCATAGTTGTGCTAGCATCATCCCTCTAGGACCTCTCACTATCCAGATATAATGCTGCCTGGGCAAGAGGCATGGAAATATAGTACAGGAGATTCATCTAGGTTCCAATGGGCTCAGTGGTTTGAGCTCAGCTACAAGCACTGGATTACAGTATTTATAGCCATCACAGGTCAAAATCCTGCTGCTAATCTCATTCTCAAATTAGCAAGGTAAACACAAATTTCAAAAGCCAAGGTAAGTAAGTAAGAGTACCATGTCTGAAAAACTTAAGTCCCAGTGGCACAACTGCACCTTACAAATCCTACCTCATCCACCAACAGCCACGTCTTCCGCAGCATGCTTTTCCGAGCAGCATCAGTCTCCTGGGAACAAAACACATACTTTGCTTAGTATGGTGCAATGCTACCTTTGCCATGGGCGTACAGCACTCCAGAAGAATGCTTTGCTCATTATGATGATACTCCAAAGAGCACCTTGTTCCAGTAGAGAGGGCTTGAGATGCTATCACTTGGATCCTGCCTCTCTCCTCCTTCCCCTGACTTGAAACTCAGGTGACTTCTCAAATTTAAGGTAGAATGTAGATCAGAGGTAAAATGTTAGCACAAGTAATCATTTCTAGACGCCCCAAGGCTACGGAAGGCTTCTGTTTGGTTATTTAAGCAAACTGAAAGCAAAAAGTACTCTGCACCTTAAGATTGCCCCAGGCAGAGATTAAACTTATTACACACTCCCTGTGCTTGATCAGCTCCCTCACCCTCTCTGCTTCATTCTTCCCCTGCCATACCATAGCCCATGCAGTTAACAACTTTGAAGGTTTATGTAGGATGGGCTACCATTAATGCAAGTGCTTCAGGGCATAATGTACATTCTCAAAAAGCTGACCAGTACTCAAAACACTTGCTTACAATTTTTGTTTTCAAGCCCAGGGTCAGCGATTCACCACAAGCCACACTGCACCCTTGGAAAGAGCAAATGCAAAGCCCAAAGCTTCCAGCCCTGAGGCTCTGCTACCCATTACCTACCTGCGTTGTGCTGTCTTGGGAGAAAATAAAGCTGTTCACATGAGCCACAGCCACCACGTAAAGAACAGGGCACCAGGCGTGGCGCAGGGCACCAGTGACCAGTGTTCGGAAGTAGAGTCGCAGGAGGTTCAGGTTATCCTCAGGAGGGGAAGTGTACCGCTCGAGAGGCACAGGAAACTGCAATAAACCCACCCAGAAGCAACATTACAATTTTTGTCAGGGTCTAAGTAGTGAAGGGAAGTTCAGGAATTCAAGGTGCCCTTCCTCAGCTGTTTGTGCATACACTCCTGCATAACATAAATGTACCTCAGTGGCACGACCCCCATTTGGAGCCGAGCTGTTACTGCCCACACTAATGCGATGTGCCTTTGACAAAGCATCCTCAAGACCTCTTCAGCTTTATGGAGAGATGTTTTACTGGTTGAATCACTGCAGTTGCTTTTTGGCACAGGTAAGAACAGTGGTTTCCAAGTGAGGAGACAGAGTACTTCCAACTGTACCACATCCCTCTAATGTAGCAGAGAAGCTTACACTGACCTATGCATTCAGCCAGAAAAGCAAAGCAGGTACACATGCCAGAGTTAAGTGAAGTTCCAACATTTTCTGACTTCACTGTCTAGCTTCAAAAAATAGGTTTGAAAAGCTTTTAGTAACAACTTGGGTTTGTTTGCTTCTCCCCACACCAGAAATCCAATTTTTATTCTTCTCAATTTTGAGTTAAGTTTTCTAGGGCTAAAATTACATATTTCACTTTGGAGCATCTTTGCACAATTAAAGACAAGCATTGATCTTACTCAACACAAAAAGCAGTCTGCCTGCTGGGGTATTCCTACTGCCCACTAGGGTGTTTTTAACTCAAGACAAAAAGAAAAAAAAAAAAAAATCAAACAAACACCTCAAGTGATCTCTCTCAAGTTTTCCAGCACATAGTTTGTTTTTAAGCAACACAGCAGTGAAAACATTGTTCAAAGTATTTGGCATTTCAAAATTTTCTAAGCACATGAAAACCAGTCTGCTTTGAAATGTTCTCCATTGTAACATATGCCACAATTCTGATGGTACCGGGGGATCTATGATTGAGGGATAAAACAAGATAAAACACATGATGTAGAATCAGGGCTTTCATCTGGAATATGGTGTTCAGCTCTGTTCCTATATATATTTGTGGAACTGGACTAGAGACAGGGAAGGGCTACTGGGAACATCAAGAGAACAGAGAGCTTACCATAAGAAGCAGGCCACAATATCTTGGCTTACATGGCTTAAGAAATAAAAGGATCATCCAGCCTTGATACAGAAGAACTGGCCACAGGGCTATTACAATCAGAGCAAAAGCGCTGGAACCACACAATGGAAAGCACTTATCTCATAACCTGCCAGTTCACACTTGTTTGGAAAAAAATTCTGAAAGGTTATCTTCATATTGGCAAATTTTAGGCTAGATCAGGTATTGTCTGTCAACTGGCACAGAACTTAAAGCCAGGTAAATTCCACCTCTTGTGCTCTGCTCATTCTAAAAAAATTCAGTCCTGCACTTGACAGATGAAATTTTCTTGCTGAGTTACCCAGCAAAGCACAACTTCAGTGTATCTAAATGGGGAAACATGGTTGAGAGAGAATATGTCCGTTTGTCCATGCACTGGGCAAGGAAAAGGTTCTCACCAAGGTGACAAAACTTATTTAAAGGGAAAGGTAATTGCTGGCAGAAGAACATGGGGTGCAGACTAGCCCTTGATACACACAGGCTATAAATTAGGAGGTTCTCAATCATTAGACAAGGCAGGGTGTGGGACTGTTTCCACTGAAGACTGAACAATTTCACAGCTCCTGTCCTCCACATATACACGCTATCTGCTCTCAAAAAGAGTTCTACAGGTTTCTGAAAATGCCTATGTGACAAGGGCCTGCATCTACAGGGGCTGGACTCAGTTCTTCAGACCTACAAAGTGTTTAGAAAAAAAGGTAAATAACAACAACAAAAAGACATACACACTGCTGTCACAACCCTAAATCAAAAGAACATTACTCTCTATTCCTATTCAATTTTACATTCCATGCATTGGATTTTCTTCAAAAGAGAACAAACAGCTTCTAAGCAAAGAAACCATGATTATTCTACTGGACAAGGAGGGATGAGGAAGAGGAAGTGCTGGGTAGATGCTCAATTAAGGTTGGAGAAACACAAGGAAAGAGCTCAGTAACATGCAGTGACCGTATGCCAGGATTACCTGCTGGAGCGGCACACCCAGCGCATGCAAGACACTTGTGTGCTCCCCAAAAACAGCGAGACGCAGATGAACACTGAAACGCTTCTGTAGAGGTAGAAGAACAAAGACTCCAAAGAGTGGATCTCCAAAGGAGACACCTTCAAACTGCTCTAGGAGACTTATATAGAGATCGTGGAAGGATGCCAAACCAGGGAGAGGAGCATCCAAGTTCAGGGAGTCCAATGCCTTGGGCTGGCAATACACAGAGAGAACGGCAGCCGTGTAGTGGTGGATCGGTGCTTCTAGAAAGAGATCACTGCCTGTGAGGAACACACACATGAGCCGTGCAAGTTTGGCAGCAGTAGGGATGCTCTGAAGAGTTTTAGCACGCCAGGTTTCTAGTAACAAGACCCACTGCAGGTTCCCGGTCACAGTGTTGACAAGATCAAGTGGGAGAGAGTTCAGTACAGCCCCACGTGTCTCTGCATTTGTCACTTTGTTGTAGAGGCTGATAAGCGGAAAGAACGGCCAGTCTGAAGGCAGGATGGGCCCTCTGACCTCAGGAAGAAGCATTGACTGGATAAGGTAATTCCGTCCTTGGTAGGATGCTTGGGAACGCATAAGGGTAGGCTGCAAATGGACAAAATGAGAAAGGTAGCAGGAGCGGATGAAAGGCAGATTCTGGTAGGATTCTCTCAGCAGGGCACCACGAGTAGCCTTTGAAAAAAATGCTGCTGCAGAGCCAGGCTGTGCCAGTTTGGCACTGGTACCCAGATGCAGGATATCAGAGAAGTCAGCTGCTTCTGGCCCTCCAGCTTTCCCTTCACTGTAAGATAAAGACATACATCAGTTAAGAATTCAGAAAAAAAAAACCCACAAAACAAAACTACAAAACACCAAACAAAACACCCTGGAAATTCATCTTTACAGTCTTCCTGGATATGGGAAAATAGTATATGCCCAGCACTCACAACACTTTCTACAGCATTCAGCTATGATAATACCAAGTGCCTGTAAAGCATCAGTTATCTTGCTACTTCCAGGGAAGTCACAGAACTACATTTGGAGTTAAAAACACTAAGGCCTTGCCACAAAAAACCTCCACACAATGCCAACAGTGTGGTGTGGAGGCTGCAAACCCTTGTGCAGAGAGGCAGTCTACTTACCAGCGTAGCTCTCGGGGTGCTGAAATGAAATACCACATAACACAAGGCCTACATGAATCAGTAAGACAATTCTCGAAATAGTAGCTGTGCAGCTCGCAGGGACAAGGTCAGGGGAACCGTACAGACTGGTAGTCAGATATCAGGGGCAGGACGGGGGCAGGCAGGGAAGACTGTGTTTGACAAACCCACGTGCCACCATCTCAGATCAGAGACTGACCATGGTCTCAGACTACTTGCCATGGTCTCACAAAATGGTAGCTCTAGAGCAGGTATTTGTAAAAACAAACAAACAAAAATTCCCAAACAAAACAACCACCCCAGAATAAACCACCTAAACAAAACCACTCACTAACTTGCCTTCTTTCTGGAAAGCTATAGTATCTCCTTGCAGCACCTCGGTCCAACCTCCTACAGGGATGCACCATGGCAAATTTCAAAGAGATTGTGACAAACATGATAAACTGCTACAATTTCCTTGGCCAGACATGTGAAGCTTCACATCTGATATGCTTGTGATTTCTTCCACTGCAAGGTGGAAGATGTCACAGTTGTCAAATGAGCAAAAATATGTGTAAGAACTTGTGGAATTAAGGATTTGGGGAACATGTAATAAGCTCTTCAGACTATGTCAAATTCTCACATATGTTCTAGACTCACTACTCTCAGGACAGCAGATGCTGGGCCTTAGTGAGAATCACTTCCATCAGGAATCACAGGACTCTTGTCACAGAGATTAAAAGAAACTGGTCACATTTCTCAACATTGGTATATCAGAGAGAAACCTGGCACCACCCTGCTGGTCTGATTAGAAGGCTCCGCGACTGAAGAATATGCCAATGAGTAACTAAAATTTGAATACAAGCCCTATTAAAGGTCAAAAATTATGACAAATTTCAGTGCCAACATGTACTTTTTCAGTTTTCTCAAGTTTTCCCATGTACTAGACTACACAAAGGAAAAAAATGTAAAGCTTACGGAAGAAACTCTGGATTAAAGGCAAGATCCAGTAAAACCTCATAAACCAGATGCTCACTCCCTGGCAACAGACAGCTTAGCAATGCCATGGCAACACAGTGATGGAGTGAGGCATGCTGGGCGTAATCCGGACAAGTGCCTGCCTGTACAGGAAACAAAACAACAGATAAAAGCACTGTATCATTTGTCAACAAGGCAATCAACAAGGACAAGAGGGTCAACCAAGACATAGATCTCGCTGGAAAGTGAGAGACTGAGGCAGTCTGCAAGAACTGTCAGCATTCATAGTGAGATCTTTCTGCTTCCCCTGATTGTCGTAAGAGAGTTACACATCTTTTTTAGCAGCACACTTGAAAAATTTATTCTCACTCTAGCCCAAAGACAGGCAAAAATAGAGTTTTTGTCATCCAAAGTATTTTGGATCTAAATCCCCACATCAGTAACTGTAAAGACTTTATTTGCTCATGGGGCATAGCTGAAGAGCCACCAGACCTAAACCAGACACAAGAACGAACAAGGATGCAGAGACCAGTTGCCAGTCTGACACACCGAGTAAGAGAGGCCAGGGTGAAGGCAGTTCCTTGGGTGAAAGAAATGAAAGGACTAATAATGATACCATTCTCCGAGCCAACGCTAACACAAAGTACTGCAGATGATATTCATGGCGCAGGATCCACGCAGATGAGGGAGTTACAGAGGGAGGTCCAGTCTGCCAGCTGTGATGCAGATAATCCTTCAAGCCTCTGAAGCCCAGCACAGAGCTGTACTATAAAGGAATCAGAAGGGGAGAACAAATACTATGAAGACAGTTCATGCTTGGAGGAAAGTTAAAACATAGCCCCGTCAAAGGCCTACCCACTACCTTCTCACATGAAATTCCTGCTGGCTACTCCAAAAGGAACAGTTAAAAATAGCCTGATAAATAGCTGTTTTTCTGCCTCAGGGCTCATCCACATCCATCATGACCATCCCCACCGCAGGTAACCAATAGTCACTGCCTACACTTCCCATGATGCTTTGTAAGGTAGAAGTCTGGCCAGTGACTTAAGTTTTTCTCTCATTTGGCCAGATAATCCTATTAGTAACCAGTGAATTAACACAAGGTGACAAAAGACAGCTTTGAGAGAGCTTATTCATCTCTCTAGGGCTCTGCCATTTCTTCTTCAGAGTCTGCAATCTACCATGACATTCTCATTCTAAAAATTCAGGACAACACAAAGTGAGAAGAAACCTCTTATTCAGCGCAGCACTCATTCTCTTGCTTAACTTTACCCTGCTTCAACCATCCCCTTCTTCCTGTAACACTCAGTTATTTATTTTGCTTAGCCAAACAACAGTTCTTTTAACCCTTCTCTAAGTTCTTCATAAATCTATCCTTTAAGCAGCATCATCGTTCATCACCTGTTCTGTAATTCCAGCTTCCCAGGGTTAACTGGATGTTGGAATTCAATAGATATTTTTCAGATCCTCATCCCACCTGTTCTAAAAATGGGAGTATTTCTTTCTATAGTACTTTGATATTTTTAAATTAAAAACACACAATTCCTTTTTAATAGTCTTACTAACATCACTCTTTAAACCCAGGAAGATACAAACACTAACCTCCCTCACAAATTCACCTAGAACTCACAGTGAAAAAAATCTATTCTCACCTTGCTGGTCAGGCCTTTGTGAATGTGAGTGATGCTATTGATGAGAAACAGGAGGGCAGTGAGGAAGGGGAAAGGTGACTTTGAGCCAACCAGGCTCAAAGGAGGTTTGCCTCCAGTGCAACTCAGAGACGCAATGCTGAAGACAGATTCTGGTGCTGGGGAACAGGACAGAGGGTTGCACAAAGCAGAACATGGCCTGTGGGAACAGATAAAGAGAAAGGGGTCAGGTTAAAAGCACTCATACTGCTTAAGAATTATCTTGTAGGAATTTTACTATCCGAACTGTGCCACATATTGCATTAAAATGGAAGCCCCAAAGACTGTGAAGGAAAAAACCTAGTATCACAGTTACTCAGGTAAGCACTATTGCCATACGAGCTAATGCCAGTGAGCTGTCACAAATTCTAATCTTCAGCTAAATTGCTCATGACGTGCAGAAATACTGATGCAGTGACACATCTCTGATGTCAAACACTTGAAAGCACTGGGGCCTCTGGTTAAAAAAATACATACGTAAACCAGGCTAATAAAACTGCCCACCCACTCAAGACATTTCAATAATAAACTGGCAGGCAAGGCAAAAAAACCCATCTTATATCTGTAACTGACATTGCAAAAATGCTGCCCCTTATGTACTCATGAAATGCATATTATTAAAGTCTCTTCAGAAAGAACCTAGTTTTAAGGTACATGAACATGACCATCCATACTGCTCTTGGAGTGTATGTGTGTTTGTGTGTATGTTCACCCTCCATGGGCAAAACTAGAACGTCTCATACCCCCCCAGACATACCATCCCTGTACAGGCAAAACCACTACACAGAAGAGTGACCATCAACCTGTTCCTTGCCGTAATGGGGCAGCAGGGCAAATGCTGTCAAAGATGTGTATCATTGCTCTGTGACAGAGAACTAGTCCTTTAAATGCATTTTGCTCTTCATTCCACTGGCATTACCATGTAGGAGATGCATGAACACATCTGGAGCTCACAGAGCACCCCCAACTCCTGGCCCTAATCTGCCCAAAACTTTTAGACAAGATCGTCAAAATATTAAGGCAGAGGTTAGCTGACTCTTCATTTTTACCAGCCAGTGTTAAGAACAGCCTAGGAGAATTCTTGTTGATGGGATTTTACAAGGACAGGCAGGAAGGGGTCTAATAAGCACCCTTGTGTTGGAAGCCTTGGTGCCAAGAGCTTCAGACCTCAGTTCCCAGCCATGAAAGAACATGCCCAAACTGTTTGGTGACCATTCAAATGCCCCTTAAAAGCAAAGATTTCCAGTGCTTCTTGTATCAGATGTTCTCAGAAGCAGCCAGATGTCTCTCTGACTACAAGTTAGGCCTTTTAGGTTCTCCCTCTCCAGAGGGCTAATCACAGGCCAGTAGGAAGGCTCCCTCTACAGCAGAAAGAGAGTATCTGCAGAGCTTAAGAGTTCCCAGAGTCAGAGAAAAAGCTTACATTATCCAAATGTCTGAAAGAACAGTTTGGTATCTGGCCGTTCGCTTTCCTGCAGGGGGTCTCAAAGCCTTAGTGAAGCTCTGCAGCAGCCTGAAGTCTAGTTTAAATTATTTTATATAAGCAGCATCACACAGAGCATGTGAATGGTACACACACACACTCTCACCTTCCCAATGTAAGAGGGATCCAAACTTTTTATTTTTAAAACCAGTGAAACCAAAGAAGAATCAAAGCCCAGAGTGACTAAGAAATTTATATGAAAAACACAGTTACATGGAAGGGCAGAGATGCAGACCCTGCAGCAGCACCCATAGGAAAAGAAGAACTGGAGAACCTCTGTGCCCATCATGCTTTTGGCTGTGAGGGGAAAGGACAAAGCAGGGTATAGACAGAACCCTGCTTCACACATATGGGGCACATATGTACAGGGGAAAGAATGGGAGGGGGAAAACTGCCACAGAGTACAGTATAGAAGTGATGCTCCCCTGGCTCCTGGCAACATCTTAGCAGTGAAATAGTTTTACCTGAGCAAGTCCCACATGCTGTGTATGGCTGGCTGGCTGAGAAGGGGCTGCATCACCTCGGATGTCAAACGTTCCAGTTCCTCTAAGCAGTCAATTGGATTGACTGATGGCTGCAGAAGACATGGAGAAAGACAGGAAAAGATGGTGAATGAAGGCATTCCAGTAAGGTCTCGCACTCAAGTACTAAAATGTGTCACAGAGATTTCTTAATTGGCTGGAACTAAGGTATGGAATCCTTGGGATCAAGATTCCCTAAATGAAAACTTGCCCTATGTGGCTAAACCCCCCTCCCCATACCATCTATGCAGTGATCTTTCCATTTAACTTTAAGATGACACAAAAGTGATCAGAAGTACCTTGAGAAAGCAGAGTGGCACCATGAGGGTCTCCAGAAAAAAAAATAATTTAGAAAACCCCCAACCAACTGTATAAAGTGTGATTGACCTACCCATCAAAGCATGACTGTGGATGAACAATGCACAGAGGAGGATCTGTGGCTTTTAGAGAGCCATCCGAATTCTTCCAACCCTAGTAAGCAATATTCCAGGTTGAAGGAACATGCTGGCAAATTTTAATGTCCTTTCCCTTCATCAGAATGCTGCTTTAGGATACAGAAATACTAATTTCCATAACATAAAAATCTCATTTTCCTCCAGGTAAAATCCTCCTCCAGAAATCAGCACAATCTACATGAAGATCCTAAACTTAGTTCTTAGTAGTCTAATCAAGAAGGTTCAGTATGCACTAATCTAGTTACTATACAAGTTGGTAGGTTTTTTTTTCACTAGTCCATTCAAATGTACTACATGCAATTTTATTTTTATTTTTTAAAACAAATTAGCTTACCACAGGTAGATGATTGAACTTTTTAAGGGGAAATTAAAAAATCTTATGTCATAGTTTAAGGATTTAATAAATAATTTTGTCAGCCACTCTTCTGGGATATCTATAGTTTTAAAAAGGAATATTCACCTCTTGGTTATCCTGGTTCTCTAATGCTCAGGACCTAATGACAGCGTGTGACGGGTACTACCAACCTTTGGGGCACTAAGGACATCTTTGAAAGATACTGGTGGTTTCCATCCCAACCACAACTAACAAACTCAGTTGTTCTGGGCAAGTTTCAGAGGAGTTGCAGAAGTGTGAATAACTAAAGCCATTAAATTACTCCCACACCTTGAAGACAGCTCTCCCAGGTCAGAACTCGAGCATGTCAGCTGGGCAGTAAAGAGGAAAATTGCATTTATCTTTAGAACATGAATCTTTAAGGTAGCTAAAGTATAAAACATTATTCTTCAACAGCACCACACTGCTTTGTCACCTTTAGAAAGCTCACTTTAGAAGACGGTCACATACTACAACTGTAACTGGGTTATAGAATTTGACCTTGAATGTCAATGGGGCAGCAAATAAATTTAGCTTTATTGTTTCCTCTCCAAAGATCATATGGCATGACCCTCAATGCTCAATCTTCCAAACAGATTATTGCCGTGTAGCTGTCCACATGTAAGCTCTCAGAACAAGACTACAGCAAATACAAAAATGTGCACCTTGATTTAGTGCACATGGATAAAGGCCTGCCAAACTAAATTGGGTTATATTTGCTTCATGCTTTGGATCTCTACAGTAAATCAGAACAGTCACAGCACTGCCACATACCTCGATTGAGACTCTGAGCCCAAAGCAAGAAAGGACAAGAAAAGACGACAGTGATATTTAGCACTGCTGATGTGAAGGATCAGCAGGCTGATATGACCCTAAATGCCACACAGCTTAGATATGAGCTGTGGCAAACAAAAGCTAATCCTCACCTAGATACCTCAATGTCTGTCGTTTTCAGCATTGCCTCTAAGTTCAGGTTTTCAGAGGTAATAGATAAACTGGGGAGATAAAAAGACAACCTGTATTTTCAGGCCTTACCTGTTGGCTGCAAGCACTGTAATAAACTCCCAAGTAGATCATGTAAGTTGTGGTCAGAGGCTGGAGAGTGTGCCAAGTTTCTGTCTGGGATATCTCCTGGAGGAATTTCTTCAGACTGGTCTCAAGGAAGGGCTGTAAGCCTGACACTTGATTCCACACTACTGGAGGAGGTGGAATCTGTTCACTATCTTCTGAGCTATTACTGAAACACAATGGAAGAATGACACAGGATAGCGAATTTGTCTCAGAAACAATTGTCTCTCTAAATCATCATTTTTAATAGCAAAATTTCCAATTGCATGTAGTCTGGAAGACAATACACAGCAACAGCCACTAAGAGAAAAAACATCTTTGCACATTCCCACAGACCAGACCAAACAAATTTAGAATCTACTCATGAAAGCTGAAGTTTCTTCACCTGCTCTACTCCATCCTTGAGCCATGCTCTAGTTTTACCAGGCACTCTACTTCAGTATCCAGCTTTAGTTAAAGAGTTTCTTGCTTTTCACCAGGAAAAGTACCTGTGTCTTCAACAAATCTGCTTTGATGTCTATCAAAACCAACAACCTCTCAATCCTGACCCATTTTGGTCTCTGCAGAGAGGTTCTTCCCTCCAAATCTCTAAGAGGTTACTTTCTTTTCCCCAAAGGGAAGGTCAAAGGAGATTTCTAGCTCATTTCAGCAGGGCATTTGGCTAACACTGCCCTTCTGTCCCAATAGTTGAATGCAGACTTTTACTCCTGCCTTTTACCAGGCTAGCAGGTGTAGGTGTCAGATTAGATACCGCTTCTGACCTTGGGTCAGAGGGAATACACACCACCATGCAGGGATTCACACGTGGAACAGTAAACCATCCAAAATGAAGGAAAAAAAGAAGGTGATAGCCAGGTCTCTAAGCCAAAGAGAGGGAAGACAGGATGCCAACTACTCAGATACACAGAACTGGTGCCAGAGAGGGCCTACCTACTCAGCTTGGCCTGCAGCTCCACCGTGTAGCCTGCTGTTTGCGTCACATGTATCAGCAGAGTAACTACTGCTGTCGCTCGCTGGACAGACAACTCAGTCAGGGGGCTCTTCCCACGGCAAGTGCTGAGCAACTCAGGCAGGGACTGCAGTATCCTCACCAGCACGGGGTAGAGATCCCTAGAGCATGAATCACAGAAGAGCTGAGGTTGGAAAGGCTCTCTGGAGATGTTTAGTTTGATTTTGTGTATTTTCAAGGATAGAGACTCCACAATCTTCCTGTGCAACCTGCTCCAGTGTTTGATCACCTTCACAGTAAAACAATTTTTCTTACACTTGTGACATTTCCTGTGTTTCCATTTGTGTCCTTTTCTTCTTGTACTTTCACTTCATACCACTGGAATAACCTGGAGCTACCTTCTTTACACTCTCCCATCGCATATTTATAAATATTGCTAAAATGAGATTATGAGAGCTAGCACCACCACCAACCTAACAAAAACAAAGATGACAAAGGAAGAATACTGTTGTTCCAAAGTCACCTGAATGGGACCTCCCTAATACTCAGTCTCCAAGCATTCCAGTAATCTCTTGGAAAAGCTACTTTTATTTTATTTGTTTCCCTAGTTTTAAAATTCTTGGCCAAAGTATCTTAAGTTATAAAGATGCAAATTTGAGGAATCTTCTGCTGCCTCTCCTTCCTCAAGATTATTTACAGTGCTAAAAAATTACATAGCTTTTACACTTTATTAACCAATACACCTGATTGGACTGGAGAACACAAAATGCAGTTGTGGAAGGAGAATCTCCCTTCTGAAACTTAATACTGGCCTCCCTTTTATTTCTCTTTATAGCAACTCCATACCATCTCCCTGCTTCCAGGTCAGTGCAATTACACGAAGAAGATTCAATGCTTGAGATAGCTCAGACTTATCTCAGTGCAGACCTTGATGGTCAAGCACAAGAACTCGTACTGAACTGAGATGTCGATACAGCATGCAGTCTGTCTGCCCCAGTCTCTTCACTTAGCATGCACTGGTGACTGCTGCCCACAGATCACCTTTAGATCATCAGATCCAATCTGGGCGTGCTGCGAGCTACGTGCTTCGATGTCACACAAGCACAGATTATTCGTGCCTTCAAGGAGAAAAAGGTACAGCCCTAAAAGGTTAGGGTGATCTCCCATAGTACAGATGAGAAACAACAAAATCCCAGTGCTTAAACACAGGAGTTAAGGAACCAGAGAAGGCAACGCTCAACACAACTACCTTTAGAAACTGTGGGTTTTACTGCAGGAGGCCAGAGAAAGGGAAACAGGACTCCCTGAAGGGAGTAGACTAGGCCTGGAGATCCCTATATTTTCCCCTCTGGAACAGAGTGTCTATTTTCTCTGTTGTGCCCCCCAACACCATTTTTCCATCTTTGGGCTGTACCTGTAGAGATCACAGGCCTGACCATAGCCAGCAGCCACAGCCCAGAGACGGAAGGCTTCAGTGCTTAGCCTGATGGCTTCTTCCCTTGGCAGAGGCAGATCCAGTGGGTCTTCAGCTACAAATCGACTTAACCGACTTTTCATTTCAAATTTGTTAAGCTGTAAAATAAACAGAAAAGAATAAACAAAAAAGACAAAGGGATAAGAGACATCAGTTGTATGCATCATTACCTCATTATTGTGACACACCAGAGAGCTGCAGATTTCAATTCAGCTCATTCTAACCTCCTCTTGCACTGCTCAAATCTGTCTTTATCTTATGTTATCTCAAGGAGCACACTACAAAGAATCAATAAATGGTCAATGACTATTACAAGAGAAGTATTCCTGAAAGGAATGCCTGGGTGTTACCTAATCCATTCCTAACAAAAATCAACTACACTTAAATCATTCCTGACAGAGGTTTGTCTAGCCCACATACACTCCTTTTTTGGATGCTCTTTGCAGCACTTAACTTATGTTCAAAAATATAACCATCCTTCTTTAAGTAGTTGTAAATAGAACTCTGTTAGTCAAGACTTCCTGTAAAGCTCCATCTTATGAAAAAGACTGTACGCAAAAGTACTGAATTGATGCTGGTACTCTTTTTGGGAGGTCACACTAAATGGCTTTCAGAGGTCCTACAACCTAAATCTTCCCATGATCCTGTGTATATTTTATTTTAAAGGGTATCTCCTGCCTATGACTTTTATAAGATTATAGAATTTTGATACCTTTAAAATGTTCTGAGGTTATTTTAGTATTGAATTAAGCATGACATGACTCATTTGCAGTTCTCTAGAAATAATTTTTACCCTCCCCAACAACTGGGTATTTTTGCTTAACCATAAAAGAGAGCTTCTCTTTCCCTCTCCCACACATACAAAAGCTTGTGTGTGCTCTGTCTAAACAAATGAGATAACAATGTCTTTTTCACAACACAAGGACATATTATAGATAATTTAAAATTCAAATGCTTTAGAGACATCTTGTAGGCAAATCAATGCACACCGGCAAGAAAGCAAAGGAGCTGATGAATCAAACTATGAGTTCTGACACCCCTCCTACAGAACAGAGGGCAAAGTCAAATTTACTTCCAGAGGAGGAAGATGGAAGAATTTTGTTGCTAGCTAAAATAAATTCCTACAATGATGACTGATTTAGTTTTTTATTATCTGCCATTCCCATGTTTAAGCGCCTATAACAAGCCATATAAGAGTGCAAGAGAAAACCTGAGTGGTAGGAACCTCATAAGCAATTTTACATGCCTTGAACTACCTGGAGTACACAAAGCCTAAAAGAGTAAAATTCAGTGATTTTCTATTATGTTCCTAGCATCACTCACAGCGTTTAAATATTCCACTATCCATTATCAGCACATTATCCTATGTATTTTATAGTACAAACTGGTGCTGTTCTGCTGATGTCAGCATCTTCCTGGATGGCAGCTTATTAGATGCCGTTAACAATACTGAACCAGAAACACTAAGAAGTGCTCCCTGTGCTGTAACGTGTGCTGCATTACACATTTATAGCGCCAGTGTCATGACCTATATGAGTGAACGCAATAATCTCTGAAGTGGAAAACCTATCCAGAAGTAGGTAAGAGGAGTTAGAAACACTAATAAATGACTTCAGAGTTAAGACAAATTAACAGCAGGAAAGTTCAACCAGGACTGTAGAGCACAAAGTGATTAAATCTCTGCTTTATACAGTTCTAAGCTGCCTATCACTGGAACACGGGAGAATACAGAGCATCACACACCAATGCGTGCTCTTAACATCTGTTATTGGTCTGTATCACTGAGTTGTGCTACGTGATTTTGCATAATTGCACTATGTAAAACAAAAAAAAGCAGAGAAAAGCTTGAGACAGTCCTTCCACTGCTACACAGCAGAAGGCATCGTTATTATGATGTTGTCAACAATTCCTTCAAAACACACCTATGCTCCTTCACAGTGATTATTTCAGCTTCAGCTCAGAGTCACCTCCAATTAATCCTCTATCTTTACTTTGAAAGTAAGGCATAGAGAACAAAGGCCTCTGCAATCAGAATAGCTCTTCTGAGAATCACTCACCAGCCTGGCTGTTGCATTCCGGCCTCCAGATGCCAACACTCTGATGAACTTCATAGCAGTGGCGCAAGCAACTCCATGGAGGCTGATGAGTAAACACCCTGGTTCAGCCACCTGGGGATCCCACTGAGTAGGGAGAAATTCCCTGACAATGGTCTCAATCAACCGAGGACAGTCAAGCAGCTGCAGAGAAACAGCAGGCAGGGCAAATAACTAAAGGTATGCAATTATGCAGACATGCAGAAGACATGCAAAACATGCAAGTTTGTCTGACCACCTTGACATAACTTTTACCTGCTTCTTTCTTCCCTTTTTCAAACCTTTATTTACCATTCCCAACCTCCTGTAAAATGCAAGATTTACCTGGCTGCAAGCTTCAGAGGAGTGCCTGGCTATGTGGGTGAGGATGTGCAGTATATCCAGCACTACTGTGGGAACAGGTCGTACAACCTCCAGAATGTACCTCAGCCGGTGCTGGATCCGTGTCTTCAAAAGTCCCTGGAAAAAAAAAAAAATTCCATTATGCTCTTAACAATTGCTCTCTGAACTGCAGTTCCTGGAAGACAAAAGCACATTCAATTACATCTTCTGCAGAGAGTGAGTTTTAAAACCACCTATAGGGAAAAAGAGAAACAAGTTTCTGCAGATTTGCCAGTATGCTAGCGAATGAGCAAGAGTTAGCTAAAGAGAGAAGGAACGACTGAATTTCTGTTCTAAATCAGACTACTGGTGGGGTTTGGATACTTGTTTTTTCCAGACCATGAAACTAGGACAATAACCTTCCCTATGTGGGACTACTAAAACTTAATGTGGCTGAAAAGGGTTCTCATGCTCCTGGAATAATTTTGGCTAGACACCACCTCCAGCTAATATATTACTCTGATAGTAACTGTCATGTCAGAAGAAGGTGACAGAAGCAGAGACCACCACAAATGTCTGTTTTGCAGTAGGAAGATAGAGATGCAAAGAGATGATACAATTTTTATTTCATGGCTCACAGAGCGCAAGACCATGATCAGTGGAAATCTTCAGTTTAAGTGACAGCATTATGCAGTCCTAGTTCTGGGAAAAGACTTCATAACACCTGAATTCATACTACTAATATTTTTTAAAAGTTGCAGCCAAGTAAAGTTGTAGTCCTGACCAAGTCCAGGTGCTGGCTTAAACACTCCTTGTCCAACTGTGTGGAGTAATTGAGTTTTAACAACTAATAAGCAGGTGTGAAATGGAATTTCACATCAAATGGAACACTGGAGAATTTTATCCCAAATATCTTCTGAGTTCAGGCCACTTGGAACAAGTTAAAACCCATTATGTTGAACCATGCAACTGTTTCCAGAATCACAAACTGAGCTCATGTCTAACTACAACTCCTTTGTTAAGCTTTTTGAACAGTGTCATCTAGTAGGATACATCTGAAATCATGAAGCATCTCAACAAGACCAGATGCCCAAGTACAGTTCTTTTTCCCAGTGAAGCTTTTAACCAAGGGCCATTTGAACATAGGCTCAAGCACATGGACTAAGTGATGGGATCACAGGTTTTAATGATTGCAGCAAGCAGGAGAGTTGCATTAGCTTCACCAAGGCTGTGTCTGAGATAACAAAGATTACTATTTTTAGATATCTTATCAGGAAATGTGGGAATAAGCTTAGATACGTGAGAAATTCCTCCAAAACACTGTAACTCTGAGAAATGCAAATATGAAGAATGAAATCGGGGAAACACTAAGTAGCCACCTTAATTCAAGTATAAAAAGAATGTCATAATACACATTTAACTAGTTCTGAACTACGCAGCTCATGTTTAACTTTGCAAAATTACATATAGATCCTTTAATAATGGCTGGAACCTTTTCATTTTTAGCTCAAGTAAGTGAGCTTGAAAATCACGTCTGTATGCGGTCTTTCAGCAAGTCTTACGAGGTCATCAGTGTGCTTGTTGCCAATTTCCCTGGAGGAAGTTAGAGATACTTAATGATACTGAATTCACACAGGTCAAGTCTCAACACTTTTAGAGATCAATAGAATTACCCTCCTGGTAATAAATGACAGAAAGATAACATCCAACAGCCAAGGAAGAGTTCTAATTCTTGCCCAGAATGTTCTTAATCGCATACACAGGAGAGTAAATGTTTCAACAGCGCACGCAGCCGCTGTGCAGAGTCTATTTTCGTAAAAAAAAGATTTCATGTCTAGCTCTGTGATTACCTTTACAACATCATATCGGGCCACATCTGGATCTGGCTTGTTTTCATCCTTTAATTTTTTGTCTTGAGACTTCGCTGTTACATTTAATTCTTCCTCTTCCTCCTCCTCCTCCTCATTGTTGGGGACAAAAGGGAATGCAGCCATCCCTTGATACCATGAGAAAGTCCAATCAAGGTATTTCTGTAAGGAGAGTAAAAGCACAAAGAATTAATGGAAGACAAAAAAATTTTCAAGGATGATTTTGATTACAGAATGCTTTATTGATTCCCACCTAGCCCCAGGAAAACAATAAAGGGTATCCTAAACACGTACAAGCAGAACGCAATGCTTTTTCATCAAAGTGATTTTAACCTGTGACCCACACAACTTGGGAAACCATGAAAAGCAATTACTGTGAGGTGAATTAAAGTCACTACACAGGTAACAGAATTGCAGCTTAACTGAAAAACATTTAAGATAAAAACTAATAAACAAACCACCAAGGCTTGAGAAGTTAAACTGCAATTTGGCATTTATTTGCCCTATTTCCATTTCTGGACCTGTGTGGAACTTAGGTCACAAATAACACAGAACTGTCATGTAAAAATATTAAAATAAAGACTACCTGTTCATGTTTTTCTGGCTTTTGTTTGAAAACCCCTCAATTTCAGCATATAAAAACCTCCCTTTTTGTTCACAGCTAATGACAGCTTCAGATACTCTAAAGTTCTAGGACAATACTGCAATAAGTGATCTTTCAACTCTTTAGAGGGGATTGCTCCCATAGCAGACCCACCCTCCCCCAAAATGTTTTACAATATAAAAGACAGTTAAATCAAATGCTTGCACTACTTAATAGCTGCTTTAAATTTCCATTTCCTGAACTGGCAGTCAGAAATAGCTACCACATTAGACAGAAAAGAAGTGGCAGACTTCAAGTAAACCCTGAGCTGTTTTGAAAAATTTCAAATGCAAGTGCCAAGGAAGCACAAGTTAAGAGACACAGGAAAAAAAAAAAGGCAAAATTAAACAAAGTTGGTGAGTGAATGACATGGTGAGAAGAGGCCTGACATCAGGGGATGAAGCTGAGTCCATCTTGAATACAGAGTTTGGAACTACAGCCTTCCTTCTATGGCGAGAAGGAGAAGCACAAGCCACAGTATCTGGGTCACCAAAGGAAATAGAGACAAAGGCGGTTTCTTCCCATAGCCACTGATGAACGAACAAAATCTTCAGACAGCATGACTTTTATGTGTGTTGATCTTCTGTGCTTACAGTGGGGATAAATCCTGTTTGTCTTACAAATCCTGGAGCAAAAGGCTGGACCTTCAGCCATGTCCCTTCCTCTGAGACCTTCTGAAACTCAGCAGCACAAGACTCTAGAAAGGACTCTCCAAATGAGAAAATATACCGACAGAGCACTCATGGTGCTGCTTCTGGCATCGAGAGAGTCAGCAATCCCCACTTACACAAGACATAACACCAGCAGCTTTGATCTGAGAATCAGAGCACTGCAGAGAGTTATAAACCAGAGTAATATCAGAAGAAAAGAAACCACATTAAGAAGCTGATTCATAGCATTAATTACCTACCATGGGTGGGCAGGACTCATCTAGCAGAACACCATTAGGCTCACAGCCTAGAAAAGGAGCAAGATGTGGAGAAAGCTAGCTAGTCCTTTGTTTCTTTTGCCTCCCCACTAGGGATGGCTCTAAAGACCTGGAAGAAGTTGCAAGGGGCTTCTTGGGATCTACCCACTCTTCTCTATCACCAGCCCCTTTGCAGTCTGATACAAGAGCAGCTCACAGAAGGAACCTGAAACACAGCCCACAGCATGCTTTGCCTATAATGGACTGCTTCTGTCCAACCAGAAAGACATTGTAACCTTGCTGCTCAGGGCTCTCTAGTATCTCTGAACACACAAAGGAACTTTCAACCTTCTAACAGGAGAGAAATCATCAAGGAGAAAACAGAGAGATGAAAATGTGAAATTAGGTATTCATCAGTGTAAGAAACGCACATGAGAACAGCAGAAAACAGACAATGAAAGAAAAAGAAAATGGCACCATTATGAGGCATAAGGCAAAGCAGACAAAATAATCTGTTCAGAGCAGGAAAACTACAAAAGAAAGCAGCAACAACATAAGAAGCCATATTAAGAAAAACCCTAAATTGTACACATACATTAGTAGAGGCATGATCTAGATTGTAAAGATGTCAAAAGAGAATCTCAGCAGCCTGCCCTGAATTTAATCACGGGGCAGAGCTAATTCAAATAGCAAAAAAGATGTCTGAATCTCTCGAAGTGGGATAACACACTCTCTTGTCTGTCCCAAAGCACAGCAATGGCATTCTACTGACCATCCAGTAAGCCTTTGTTCAAGCTACTCACCATGTTTTCTCATTCCAGTTCCTGTAAACAGCTCAGCTGAAATCAAACCCAGGCATTTAATGATTGTCTCACCTCATCATCAAGTGACACCAACAGAGCCCGAAGAGCACCAACAGATGCTGCCATGACATTATCCACTGTATCATCCAGTGAGAAGCGCAGCAAGAAGAGAAACCCAGCATCAAGCAGCAGACGCAGAATGCTGCCCTTCAAGGAGGAAGCAAACTCTCCAGCCCTGGCCTGAAATGTACGCCACACAGAGCCAGTGTTAAAGGTGTCTCATCTCAACTGGGTACATCTCAACATTCTGTGCATGTTTGCCTCTTCCCATTCCTACTGTAAAACAGCTAAATTGTGTGCAGGGTTTTTTCCTTTATTTTCTCCTCCTTTCATTCTACAGAGGCACACAACTCCAGCTCCTTAATGCACAAAACCTTTCTTCCTAATGTCTGAAGCCATCTTCTGACTTCACCCTGTTCTGCCCCATTGTTCTTCTCAAAACCAGTTTCTTCTTCTCTGCCTCCACTGCCACTGAAGGGATGGTTAGCACTTCCCTTAGTTAGGTGGAAGTGTGCACAAAAGTAAAATCTGGGCCCTGATACACCAGAAACTTGAATTATGGCAAGGAATTCTATGGAAAGTGACTTACCTTTTGAACAATACGACCCAAAACCTGTAGAGCCAGCGTCCTTTGTTGAGTAACTTGGCTGCGAGACAAATGAAAGAGCTCCTGCAGAGAATAACCAGCCCTCTAAACAGGGAGAAGGAAAAAAAAAACCAACAAAAACCCTCAGCTATAGGTAAAAACAGGCCCCTTAAAGTAAGATTAACTGTAAAATGCTGCAATGCAACACTGTTTGCTGCTTTGCGGCAATTGCAAAAAAGATTCTGATCACTGATCCAACAGGATAAAACTGAACTTCTTAAGAAAAGGATGTATGTGTAGCTTTTTCCAACACCACAGATCCCTAATGGCATTAAAGAGAAAAAGCATTAATGGAGTTTTCTGAAAGTAAGACCCAACTTCTTTTCAGGAGCTTGTTTCAAAAGAAAATCACCATCCACACTTTCCTAAGGCTTTTGTCACTAAAAACCTCGACACCAAAGGCGTCTGCCAAATCAAACACTGGAAACGGAAACAGGTGTGCTGTATTACACATACCTCTGCCTCTTCTCCATGGTGATGCAGGCCTAGATGTGTTGGTAAATCAGCATCTGCAGGAATCAATTCTCCTTTTAAACTGAATCGAGCTTGCATTCCCTACAAGTGTGGAGGGAGAAAAAAAAAAAATTTCTATTGCCTTCCACTCCAATCATCACTTAAAATACCACTTCTTACATCAACTGCTGGAAGGTCACAGTTCAAACTCTCCCCAGATCAGGCCTCAAATTCTTAAAAAGATTTACTCCCCTCTTTCCTTTTTTCTTAGCTTTCAGACTTGTTACATCTCAGATTACAGTTGATAGACTCTCACTTTCTAGATCTCTTGAGCACTGCAGACTAAACTGACCACATATCATCCAACCCTGTGGCAGAAACTGGGGAACCTCTCAGCCTGATGAAGTCTTACAAACTGAGTAATCAGAGGACTGGTCTTTGAAGGCTTCAAATCTGTTACTGTTGAGAAGCATGATCCAGACACAAGAATGAAAAATATCAGTTTCACTGCTTTCAAACCTTTTGGGTTTTCTTCTGTCGGGGTGAGGGCAAATCTTTCATCCATTCCAGCTTCTCAAATTCCACATTGTCCATGTGAATCCATTCCTTTTTGGGCTTCACAGGCAGATCATCATCATCTTTGTAGAGGAACAAAAATAGCAGTCTTACATTCCAAGGCAGAGATGAAGAAAATACTATTGTCTCTTTGCCAACCTACTTGGCTCACAGACTGCATCAAATTCATGTAAAATAAAAAGAAAACAATTTTCAAACTGACTATTGGCTGATGCATAAACATCAAAGGTTTAAAGCCGTTTTCATCTTTCACAAGAGCTGGAAGAGGAAGTAAACAGCACTAATGAAATTCACAGACAAGGCTCATTTGAACAGTTGATTAAGTTGAACAGAAGTCAGGACACAAATAATCACAGAATGATTTGGGTTGGAAGGGACCTTAAAGATCATCCAGTTCCAACCCCCCCTGCCATGGGCAGGGACACCTTCCACTAGCCCAGGTTGCTCAAAGCCCCATCCAACCTGGCCTTGAACCCTTCCAGGGAGGGAGGGGGCAGCCACAGCTGCTCTGGGCAACCTGTGCCAGTGCCTCACCATCTTCACAGTAAAGAATTTCTTCCTTATGTCTAATCTAAATCTACCCTCTTAAAGTTTAAAACCATTACCCCTCATCCTATCACTACACTCCCTGATAAAGGGTCTCTTCCCATCTTTCCTGCAGGTTCTCTAAGTACTGGAAGGCAAGTAAGGCAAAGTGATCAGAACCTGGGCAGAAAAATAGTATCTGCACTACTTTTGAAAAAACAAACTGGTATCATCCAAGGAGGGGGGGTATTAGGGGAGATGTGAAATGGTTCAAAAGTACCGATGCAGAGGGGTCAAAACGAATTTTTGGAAGCCAGTATAATTTCAGCCTCGATATACTGGAGAGAGCACAAACACTACTATCTGTGCTTTTGTCACATTTGCAATGCTGCTCTTCGTTCTGTGTCCCACTCTAAAGGCTTGAGGAGATCAGTTTGGGAAGAAAAGATCAAAGCAGCTGAAAATTTACCCAGCTTGCCCAAGAAATGGCTTGGTGGGGAAGCTGGACAGTTGAATAACAATTCCAAAGGTGCAAATACTAAAGGAAGAAATTACTGATTTAACTTTATAAAGAGCTTTAACTAGAAGAATTTGATAAACAAGACATATACACCCGACATCACAAGAATTGCCCTAGGAAAGAGACAAATCAGCATCTCCAAGAATCTCACAAGTGAAGGGATGGGAGAGATGTAACTGCAAACAATCCGAACACTGGGAAAGATAATGCTTTGCTACTGGGATACTATCGCTTACTGGAGTGAGATGAGCTAAGAAGTCTTTGATGTCTCAAGAGAAATCACACATAAGGACAGGAACAGGGAGTCTGAGGGCATGAAAAGTAGCAGCATCACTCTTGCTGGAGCAGCCCAGAACTCATTTGCATTGCAGCTATTAATCCTAGTGCTCTGGTCTTCTCTTGCAAGGAACAATGAGTCCCACTGAGATGCTCTTCTTTCATCAGATCTTTTCCTGCTGATAACTGGCCTGAAACCTAACCTTTTACTTTCCTCCAATTAGCAGATAAACTTTCAGGAAGGGCACTCATCCTTTCTAGGATGAAGCTTCACCCTTATGATCAATGAGGAATTGAGTCAGGCAAGGAACCAAGCACGGTTATCTTCCTCAGCCAGAAAGCTGTTCCGCAGAATTTCAGCCAAAGGATCAGCACGCATTTTAATTGAAGAGAAAGAAAAAGCATCTGAAATGTAAGAAAGTGGAATGTTTGTGGGTGGTAGGTGCAAAGCTAGAGGAAATAAAATCAGCAGAAAAATGAAGTTTATTGACATTTGTATTTCAACAAATTGTTTTCTCCACTAATCACTAAATTGATAGGGCTGAGGTACTCATTCTGTGAATAGGATTATGCATATTACCACCAGCCTTTAGCATTATGATCTTGTATATAAGACATACATATTCCAAGGCATCAGCAGATTGTTCAGTGACTGAAAAATCCTCTTACAGAAACACAAGCTGACAGTGTGAATGCAACACTTGCACTGAACTTTTTCAGACTTGGATTATATTAAAGGCTACCACTCAACCTCTTCTCTTTCTTCTTTGCTTTCCTTTTTGTCTCAGTGCCAGAATTTACTTTTCCATTTGATAAGATTACAAGTTGCTGGATAAAGGCTTCACCATTTTGTTTATTAGAAACAGTAGCCTTTTATCTTATTAGAGAGGCAGGTTTGACTTTTGAGCAATCCCATTGCTTTGTGTCGTCATCATCCCCTCCCTGGGGAAATTCAGAATAACCATTTCTGCTGGGTTATTCATGACGAGTTACTTCTGAGCACAAACAAATGCAAAATCCCAACACTAAGTGCTAATGTCAAATTAGTATTTTACATCTCCTGTTGGCCAAAATAGGATGCAGGCATAAACTCAGGTGCTGGAAAGGCTTCCCTTGGTTTTATAACTATGTTCCAGTGCATACTTTCTTTGTTATTTCAAATATCCTGGGAAAACTCCTCCTTTGCTGTGCAGTCTTTCATGGGAAGCAAACGATGTTGTTAGCACAGACACACTGCACACTGAGCTATTCCCAAAAGCACTACTACAATCTTGTTCAGCCTTTACAGGCTGAACAACCCGCTTCTATTGCTCCCAGGCGAGTAGAAGAATGTCACTTAACCTGGTGCTATTTGTGCACTCGATTGTTCTGGAACAGAAAAGAACTAAAAATAGTCCTTTTGATTAAGATGGGTTCCTGGAAAAGTAAAACTTGGGGAGAAACAGCAAAAGGACTGTTCAGTGAAGTGTTTTCCTCAATAAAAGGCTAATCAGCTTTCCTCCTCCTGCACATGTACACACACATACACTCACAGATTCATCCCTCTCAGCAAGAAAATGGTAAATGGTTGTTATCTCTTGCAAACATCAAGCTGAAATCCAGGAGTGATTCAGAGACCTCTTTAATCAGTCTCCATGTTGCACTGGGATACAAAGAACGCATCAGAAGAGAGGATCAAGAATGAAGAGAAAGCCAAAAATTGACATGAAACGAGGGGAAAAGCATGCTAACAAGGGAGATAGACCTGCTACAAACAAAAGTATGGGGAAGATGAGAATGGGAGCCTAAAATCACAATGGAGAAAAATGGCTAAAGAAAAAAACTGCAGTTGAGGAAAGCAATGATAAAAGCAGCAGAAACTTAAGGGGAAAACACTTTCTCTTTTTTCTGCCATGAGAATATAAGGGCTGCTCTAGCTGCTGGGGATAAAACAGCTTTCTCCTCACACAGGCATATACTGAGCATTAAAGACTTCTCTCTTAAGAGCTCTGTACAATTCTTCCAAAAAAGCAGAGGAACACTTTACACCTTAATACTTCCCTCCATCCACAGCACAAAGAACTGTATCCTGTGGAAATCACCATGTGGGTTCTGAGATACAAACCACAGAGAAGGGCCATCAGAAGCAGTGTCAAAAGACATACATGCACTGTATGAGCAATTTCCCTGAAGTGAGGCTGTCATCTCGATTCTATCCTGTGAGCAAATCTCTAATTTTTACCTACCCAACACCTTCTTGTCCCCAACCAGTCCCAGTTAAAGAAGTTATTCATGCAGCAGCTGAATCTCACTACCACACTCCTCTGTTTCCCTGTTCACACAACTGAATAGAAAAGCAGTGATGTCTAGTTTAAAACATATTTTCCCTTCAGAGACCTCAGAGTAAATTTCAAAACTAAAGACCTGCCACTGAATAGCTCACCTCCATTACACAGTGTATCACCCTTCTACCCATGAAACCCAGCTAGAAATAACAAGAGATGTTCTTCTCTGAACTCAAAATGTCTGTATTTTTTAAATATCATGATAAAATTCTGAGTTTGGTAACTAACAAAATGCCACATCAAGCCACTCTGGATTGATGCAAACACCGTAGGAACCTTACATTTGTGCTCAGAACGTTAACAACACACACTTTGTTTCTTACCTGTGATTTCTACCTTCACGTTTTCTTCCTTCTTTACAGATTCTTTCAGACCTGACTCCTGCATGGAAAGAGATGATCCTACACCATGCTGAGCCACAGGCAGAGATTCCACAAACTCCTCCAGTCTGTTCTGTTCCATTTTTAATTCCTTTTTCTGGCCTTCATTGCCACCACGTCGTGACTTTAAGAAAGCAACTAAACTGGAATCTGCAAGTATTGACAAAGAGACAGACAGAGAAGTGACAGAAAGTCTCAAAATACTTGATAAGCCTGGAGCTCATGTTACTTATGTTTTAGTCTTTTTATTCCTGTTCCAACTGCCCTATTCTTTTGTACCAACTGTCACTCTTTTTCAAACTGAGACACTTAACTGCTTTATGACCTCTTGAGCACATAAGCTGGGTACAACTGACAAGTAAGGCAACACCAAAGAAAGAGCTGATAAATGTCTTTCAAGGTAAAGCAACCACAAAAATTCTAGTTATTCTCCCAGCTTACAAATAAAGAGATAATTGTTTCTTTCCCCCTTACTGCCACTGAAAAGGCACATCCCAACAAGACTATTAATTGTGCAGAAAATTCTACTCTGTGATTTATGGGAAGAACCCAGGTCTGACAGTTTGCCTGCCCTGCCTGTGGGCCGCTCAGTGGCATCAAAATGAGCACTGTGAGAATACCCAGAACAGACACCACAAAAAAATACCTACTCTTTATTGAATTGCACTAGATCTGCAGTGCATGGTCTAGATATGATGTTAGGAGAAGGATATCTTGTTTGTTCTGAACTGACTCCCCAGCCTGAGAGTCAACTGTGGCCTGACAACATCCAGAAAACAGACATGGCCATTCTCTCCATGCTTTGGAGGAAAACAGGAACATTTGGGAGGTACAGGTGTTTTGAAGACAGATAATATTCCTATGGTTCTAAAATGGGAAAATGTCAGATGATCATCATTTTACTTTCAGATCTGCTACAGATCTCTCACATCATTTCTGATGGAGCATACTTTCTCTCTGAATACTGTTCATCTAGAAGATGCTGTTGGGATGCTTATGCCAGAGGTGAACAGTAAGAGACTGTGCACTGTACCTCTAAAAGGTACAGAGATACTCCAACAATAAGTGTCAGAGATGTATAAAGTAACAGAACATAACACCTACATTGGTTACGTATTCTTTGGAGGACAAAGGACAAGCAATTCAGAAATGCTCTGTACATGAGAGAAGTCACTCCAAGAAGGAAACGACTCCCATGTCTCTGAACAGTTCAAAGATGATGCAGAGATCTATCCCACACTTGTGACTGCCGCACACTCTCCTCATGATGCAGTTTAAACCTCCCTTGGCGAAGGAGAGGCATTCAGCCTGGTCTCATTAAAGTACACATTTTTTCCTGAATGCAAGCAGAGCTCTCACTTTCTCACACTTCACTGTACACGGCAAGGAAAAGACTGAATTAATTATTTTAGAGAGTGACAAACAAGTAACTGATTATGTCAGTCTGTCAGAAAGTAGAGCCTACTCCTGCCCAGAGTCTCCATGGACAAAATCAGAACAGTAACAACAAAAAGATCCTGAAGACATCACCCAACAAGGAATTGTCTACCCATCCTCATACTCCAAACTACAGAGTCTCACCTGCTTCATAACTAAAATTAATTCAGAGACTGGGCAGCATTAAAACACCCACAAATTATTCACATTCCTGAATATGAAGAAAAAGTCTCTTTAATCCACATCTCTGTTCCTGTCCAGTTTCCAAGTTCACCTGTAAGCCAGTAATTTAGTTTAGTTGTTTCATCATGTATAATTCCCTAACCACAGATATTTTGGGAATGCCAAAATTACTCCATTTCCTTAAGGCCTCAAAGACTGGAAGATCTACAATTTTACCCCACAGGGCATATAAACAAATACCTAGTTTTAGAAAATAATTAATTGCTCAAAAATACTTAAAATACATCCTACCCTTTTTAAACTCCCTAATTCACTAATATCCCAAAGGTCAGAGTGATGTGAACAAGGAGCAAAGATCACAAGAAGGAAGTGTATAAACAAAATATTTTTCATACACATGCCATGTTTTAAACAGTGAAGTTTAAAAAAATATTTTTTTTTTTTTCCACCTCAAGTAGTTTGGAGAGCTCAGCTCCCTGAATGATGTACCTAAACACTCTGTCTGCAGTTATTTTGGATGGTTCCTTTGCCACCTTTCCAGTTATGCTGCTTGCAATGAGGTCAAGATCATTAATATGATCTTTAAAGCTAAACCCACAAGAGACTTCTGCATCTAAAATGCCACTCACACCTAAATTTGATCCTAGAGAATCTGAAATTATGAGAATTTCAAAAACCCTTATCTGCCACCTACATCTGTAGGTCTGCTCCTCCTGAGCACACAAAACCATTGAAATCAACACCAAGAAGTCTTACCGTGCCCTAGGTCACACAAATTTTTATCAAACATACCACATCCAGTGTTCTCCCCCATCTTGTCATCAGCTGTCAGTGACAGTCATTCCCAGAGCACCACTGTGGACAGGGCTCCAGACCAGAGACCAGACCCCTGCCAGAATGCCTGCACCCAACAGCCAGATAAATAAAACAGCTTTTCAGGAAGTTCAAGATTCATTGTAAGCTATGCTGCTGTACCAAGTACAGATTCAAACTGAAAACTCCCACGTGCCCACACACTACCCCTATCCGGGTACTGACTGTTCTAGCCCAAGTCTTCAGTATTTTGGAGGGGAAGACCAAGGGCTCTCTCTCATCTCAGAACTGCTACAGCCATCCTAAGAATAGCTTTGCTTTATCTCCTTCAGAGAATTACATTTTAGAACCTCAATACCTGTATATGTAACCAGGTATTTGGTGTGCAAAGTAACTGACTGCATGGACCCGTATCCCACAGCAAAGGGGAGATGAGACAGACTTAAGCTAAGCCCCCTCTCACTGAGGAATAAGCCCTCGTTAATTCTTTAATTCTTATTCATGAACTACTGACATGACATGGAAGCTAGATTATCCACATATGCAATGAGTAAGAATCCCAAGCTCCTGTCTTTCATCTGTGGTAAGACTTCAGGACACCTACACATTCAGTAAACTTCCATGTCTCTAGAATTCACCCTGGGAAGCACATACCCAGCTGAGCCAGAAGCCTTTCCTGCTCCTGCAGGATCTCTTCCTCAGACATGGACCGCAGCTTCTCCAAGTTCTCTCTATGAATAGCTTGAGCTTCCTGCTCACTCTTTTGGCTTCCAAGACCCTCTCCCGTTATGAGACAAGGCCACTGAGAGGTCAAAATGTCACCAGCTTTATCTGAAAGATCCAGCAGAGAACACAGTGATTTAAGTGCCTATGGCATTATGAACACATATCAATTTTGTCATTACCAGGCTTGCATAATTTAATACTTTTTAACCTTGGTAGACAAGTTACAATAGGGGTAAAGATGTTTAGTTTAGCTTCAAACAAAGCTTCCATCCCATGTCACAACAAAACATCTTTTTCACCTTGTTTCTTTAGGAGTTTGGGGAGGGATGGTGGGGAAAGAACTTTGTTTCTTTAATCCAAAGCAAAGTCAAGTAAAGGTAAACTGGAGCATAATTCACAATTGATGAGTCAGAGCACTCTTCCAAGTTAGTGAACACTATATTCTTTCTCTACACAAAAACATCTGAACCCACATTTGTATGTCAGCTGTACCATGACCTGGTAAATACCTGTTGAGTGAGACAAGAGAATTATTAGGTAAACTGGTTTCCAGAGTGATAGAGGATCCATTCTCAACACAGACATTTTTGCTTCTAACAATGTCCTGTATTCACCTTTAAGGGTTAAACATATTAGAAGTTCCAGCAGGGTGGCATTTTTCCTACCCTAAACAAAGTCAAGTCTCCTTTATCACCTGATCTAAGTCCTTTGTAAAGGCTCATTTCATTTAACTCTAGCAACAGGGTAACATGCTCCTTTAGTCAGAGTGAGACCCTCCAGCTGTCCTGTAGCCCACTCACTATACGAGGACCTGACTTAGCACCTTTATTCCTTGTGTTTTGTTCATAAGCTCCATAGAGCACAACATCCCTATGACCCTAAGCCAGCCGACCCTGAAAGCATCAAACCCGTGTTCAAACAGCAGCAATGACACTCATTGTAACATCAGTACGGTTTGATGTCATTTCTCCAGCAGTTGTCTTGCATATTGAGAAGACAGTGACCTGGTAAAAGATTCAATAAGCTTCCCACCATCAGCAACTAAGCCAAGGGCTACCAGGCACAAACATGTTGTTACTACAAAGAAAGGAGAGCTGCCTCTCTTCTCCTTTTGCTTCTAGTGATCCTGCCACAACAATCTTACTGAGGAGGCCAAGCCATTTTCTGATGCCTCTATTGTTCTAGAACATTTTAGAAGCCTTCTACTTCAAGAGGACCACAGCTATGAGGCTGCTCTATCTCCCTTTGAGGTTTCTCAGACAGAAGTACACATGCACAATCGTAACAGGATACACAGTAAGCACAGTATATTGACCTGGATGGTTGATTTGTGCACGCACAGTACATCACGTCTGGGTGTTCTCTTACCAATTCTCTGACAGAGGTCAGGGCAGACAGAAACCTTAACCAAACAGCGATAACCCTCGAATGCCATCTGGCCTCTATTTCAATGTGAAAAAGAGGGCATCAGGGAAAAATCCAGACATATGGTGGTCTGAAGCAAAAAAGGACTGCCCAAGCCAAAACCAGCCAAACAAAAAAGCCTAGAGACACTGGTACCAGTTGAATCGGTTTCATCTTTCTTTGTCACGTTGATGTCAGACAAGTAACTGCTGGAGGTGGCACTGACTCATCAGCACTGCCTCACAGCATTCCTTATGGAGAAAAGCCACAGTCTCATGGCAGCAGATCTAGTGACAGAAGACTGAGCTTTCAGCTTCTAGGTAGGAGTGAGTGAGAACCTGTATCACAGTGGCCTCAAACACCTTCATCAGACACAAGAACCACCCTCTTCCTAAAATTACGGAAATCAACAATGAAACAAGAAAAACTTTACATATAACAGAGAGGAAAAGGAGGACAAGAAGCTTGAAAAATAAATCTATTTGTCCCTGTGTAAAGCAAAAAGGAAATGGGTGAGAAAACTAACCCAATTTTTAGTGTTAATTTGGGTCTCAGACCATTTCAAATCCATGTCACACAAACATTCCAAGTGACCTTGAGATTCCTAAATCGAGGACAACAGTGCTACCCTAATTTAAAACTAAGGTGCACTGACGTTGTGGCTACTAAGGCTATGTAAACATGGTAGGCTGGAAAAGCAGAACCTTCTCCACTTACCACCCCCGATGCTGGGGAGAGGTGCCTGTCCCGCTGATCCCTCGGGATCCAGGGCATCCGGCACAGCTGATCTTGTTTGCACGCACTCGGCAGCAGAGGGAGACGTTGCTGCCTTTTCAGCAGCTCTTCTCGCTGCCATCTTTTGTGCAAAGATGCTTTTTCTTCCAGATCCCACCTTCACCTGCAAACAGGGAAGCCATGTGTCACCACTTTCCTCTCCAGACTCCCCCGCACACCTGCCACTAACAAACATATAGATCTGATCCTAAAGACACCCTCAGATCAGACTTTGGGACATGACAGAAAGAAGCTGCTGGCAGCCACCTGCCCTTTTCTGTGCATGTGCTATTCTTTTTTTAACACACAGTTTAATGCTAGGACAGAGAGACAAAAACATTAATGTTTTTGCTACCTAGAGAAGGAAGATGATTAATTATAAGTGAATTCAAGCCAGGCAAGTACACCTAAAATATCACCCAACACAACAGTTCCAGCTTTCCTGCTGTTTGGAAACTGCATTAGCTGAATACTTTGCATTTCTGAGGATAAATGGGGCTGTACTGCACTGTGTTCACCACATGCTTGGAACAGGCTTCTTATAAGGTGATTAGAGAGCAGCAGGGTGAAAAGATTTACACAGTAAGAAGTGGGCAAGTGGTGCTAAAATAATCCTGACTAAATTACTGTGCAGCTTGCCTAGGCAATCGAAGGGCATGGCTCTGAACAGCCTTGAACAGGATGCACAGGAAATTCAAAACAGACTAAGCAAAAAAAAAAAAAAAAAAAAAAAAACACTCTTGCATGTCCCCAGTCCAGAGAAGGAGCTTAAAAGGCGATCTGAACATTTGGTAGCTGCTTTGTGCACTCCTGCATCAGGTAAACAGAACCAGTAGTCTAAAATATATCATTCTTTCCTTTCAAAAAAGCTGTCCTTCCAAATAAGCTACCTCTTCAAAAGCAACCACAGCTATCAATCACATACCAATTCCCAGCATCAGACTCCCACTCAGCTAGTAACTCTTGCTACTACAGCAACGACTGATGATAGCAGCCATGGCTTCCAGTTTTCAGGCTCAGAAAAAAATTATGTCAAAATCAAAAAAACTGCAAACGATAATCTGTGCAATCATACTCAAATGTCATGCCAGGAGAAATCAGGTGCAACTTCAGTAAGTACGGAGTTAATCAAGCCTGGTGGACAAAGTAACAGAGGTTGTTCCTCAGAGAAAAACAAGCAGGACAGGATCAATTCTATTACAGTAGCACAGATATGATCCACCTCACTAAAGTTAGCTGAAGGGAACTGTATTTTTCCTAAACTAAAAGGATTCCAGTATTATTTAACTGCAGGGTAGGGAGTGCCTATTCAACGGCAGCTTGGCAGGACTCTCTCCTACTCTAAGGTGGCAATGCCAGAGATACGTCGATCTAGCACAATCTCCAGCATGCCAAGTCACTTATTTTGAGCTCTACCACCCACCAAACATTAGGCTTTGTTGTGGGGAAGTTTTAATCATTCATTAAGATGGACTAGACAGGTGCTTCCAATCTTACCTCACTTTTTATCTCAGAGCGGTGAAACGTCTTTGGAAACGGGTCTCCTGTGGGCACTGGTATAGTCACTGCTACTGCACTTGTGTCTCGTTCCTGCAGCAAAAAATTCAAATCCTCTAGAAACCATCACAACAGCCAGACATGTTTATATCACTTAGTTAAGAGTGGACTCAAAATCTTTCTGCTCCACAGCTCACAAGGTTTCTGCTACATCGCCATCAGGATCAGAATACCTTGTGCATATTTAGAGACAAAGTGAGGCTATTTTCCAAAAGGCTGGCCAAACTCCACACACCTCTAGAAGGATCAGATAAAGGAAAATCTGGGCCAGTGCAGAGCAATGAGTACATCCTCCTTAGAGAGGAAACTCACCCAAATACACACTAGAATACATGCCTGCATGCAAGCAGCATGAACTGCAGGCAGACTGGACTGAAGAGTAGATTCAAACCCATATTTAACTGACAACAAAAATATACCCAAAGAGTTTTTTCTTTCAAGGGCTACAGGACACTGCTCTACAGTACTACAAGCAGCAATAGCATCCTTCATCCCTGTCCACTACTTAGTTCGAAGCATTCAAAAAAAGCACTAGACCATTGCATAAAAACCAGACATACAATAATTTTGCTGAAGACTGCTGTAATGTGTTGATCATGTCTCTCCAGTCGTTCCTCTGCATCTTCATCTTCAAAGTGGACAGAGGCACTTTTGATCCTGGACTTTTTTGGAGGAGCTGGAGTTAGAGCTGGGAGAATATCAGGAAAATCTGGGGAGAAGGAAAAAAAAAAAAAAAGCAGTCAAGTTACTCATACATAACCAGCATGCAATATGTACCAGACCAAGGCTCCCTAATAGCACCTATTATTGCTCTCATGAGAAACAAAGAAGATGAGGAAGCAATAAGACAATTAAGGGTCCTCTGTCTCCGACTTGCACTGGGTAGTAGAGAGAAACATGCTCAAGAATTATATTATTTATGTATTAGCACCAAGGTCTTTTCAAAGACCTGCATAAGCAGGAAAGTGTACTGAGGCCTGACTACTGACTAAGGGAAGAAGCAACGCTGTTACAGAAACAAATAGTGTCCTTGCAGGTTGTGTTCTGGCACAGAAAAGCACATTTCCACTGCTAGCTCTAACAGCAAATGATTTGTATGATCATGAGAAAGTCAAGGCCTCCTTGTCACTATCTATAAACTGTGATCATATTTCCTTACCTGGAACGAAGCACTGGAAGATTTAAGAAAGCACCTTGAGCTTCTGAGACTATTAAGCACACGACAGAAGTGTTACAGTTACTCCTGATGTAGGAAAACAAAACTGCAGGAAGGAGGCTTATCAAGCCAGATCTGCTGGCTGAAAGCTGGAGCTGTTAGAGCTAAATCTCAAAGACATTGAGAACAGGGTCTAGATAGATGGCAAAATAAGCAGACAGTGTCCAATGGGTACAAATCACAGAAAACACCTCTTGCATTGAGGCTGCCAAGGCACCACAGACTGCTGATAAATGTAGACAAAGGTAATGTGTTGGAAAAGGTGGTTCTATTGGTAACATTGGACAGGTGCATTTTCCAACAAGGATAAGAATAAACAATGCTGCAAGGAGGACACACATGCAGTGCAAAAGCAATCCTAGATTGAGAGGGAGGTGAAGAGGTAAGCACTGAGGAACACTGAAAGGGACAGAGAATCCTAGTAATTCAAAGAAGCGCACAAGGGAAATTACCATCCAACATGACTACATCCTTGCTGTCTTGTAGCCAGGGTCTCTCAGCATCTGCGCTCCCTTCCTCCCCCTTCCTCTTGTCGGCTTTCTTCACAATCTTCACTGCAGGTGAAGCTCTGGCTGCCAGGAACTGGTTTTGAAAGTGCAGCAGGTCTGCCTCAGACTCCCCAGGCTTTGGTCTCGATAACATCCTGCCTTCCTGCTCTTGCAGCCCAGCCCTGTGCGCTGTTCAGTGAAACCTACTGTAAGACATGGGAAGCTGGTTACAGAACTGGATTTCCTGGGGATAAGATGGGGATAGCAAGGGAAAAACTATTCATTTTTCTCCCACTCTGCTGTTCCTGTACATACTGATGCCACCCTACTTCAGGATCACCCCAGGACACGAGTTGTACCAGAGTCCCAGACAAACAGTTTACCTTGTTCTTCATTGATGAACAACATGCTACTAGACAAGTCAACACCTGGTCTACCAGCCAGCTGGGAGCAGAATGGCATCCATCCAGCAAGTGCATCACTGCCAGAATGCCAACAACACAGCCTTGGATTTGCAAAGCCGCAGAAGCACCTGGTCCCAGACAACAGATTTGACTTACTCCATTATCAACTCCAACCAAGAACATCAAAGGCACAGTATCATGCAAACCTCCCTCCTCCAGCATAGGGTCTTCTCAGGATCCTAGCATTAGCATCCCCTGTCAGGACACAGAAGCTTGTCCGTGTAGATCTGGACAAGGCACTCACTCTCACTGACTCTGCTTGCTCTCCTCCTCACTCAAATCTCCCAAGTAAAAAATCTTTTTCTTCCTTATCTAGTGCTCCTGCTTTAGTGCTCTCTCTTTCACTGACCTCTTATTGGCAGAAGTTATGCTACTTGCAAGCATTTTCACTCACTACCCAGACCAGTTTTGGGTTGAAAGCCAAGGGTGGCATTTATAAAGACTTTCACCCCTGTGCATACGAGAACTTATTAGGAAGACAACTACTCCACCTCCCATCTACTGGGCATGAAAATATTTGTGAGTATCACTCCCCAATTCTTATTCCCAGAACCTGGGACCATCAATCCATTTCTCGCAGGCAGCAAGTAAAGTGTTTGCAAATACATTTTACACTAATTGAAACACTGATCAGCACTAATGCTACAGACTTGACACCCTCCCACACTTGGTATGTTGAAGTATTTCTTATATATTTGATCTTTTCTACTTTTAAAAGCCCATCAGGACTCAATGATGATTTGTTGTGAAGTTGGAAAGGCAAGTGGATACAGATTTTTAAAACTACAACTATCTGTCATATGGATAGGCTGTACACATGAAAAAATGCAAAGCTTGGAAGTGAATCTCTACCTTAATCTCAGACCAAAACAAAGTTCAAACATCATGCAGGCACAGCAACTGCCCTGAAGCCAATGTTTTGTCTTATGCTATTATCATACTTTATTGTAAAATATGTGGGGAGATACCTTGTGGGAAGGCTGCTAATAGACATAAGAATTACTTCATGCAGTACTTATCACCTACACGTGGAATATTTATACTATTGTCAGGGATCTCATTCTTGACAAATGTTGGTTAGATGTGATGCTGCTGGTTCCAACAACACAAAGAGGTCCAAAGAGTTTTACACTTGGTTGTTGGTTTGTTTTTTGTTTTGTTTTGGGTTTTTTTTAAATCAAGGCTTTAGTGTAAAACCATGTAAGACTCACTGAAATTCTTTTTCCTGCCCTCATTTTGAGCCAAAGCTGGACTAAAACCATTCAGACCTAATAGTTTTGTGTACCAAAACAAAGTGAATTTTCAGAGGCTTCAAGGTTTCCAGGGACTCCATTCATTTCAGCACTTCACGACCAAGGAACTAGACCTCTTCATCCAATGCCAACATCACGAGTTAGTCGCTCGATTTCAGACATCTCCAAACACTGACCTTAATGAAAGCTGGCAGCTCAAGAGTTCCAGAACAACAACTTCTATTTACACCAAGCCTACACATGGCAGAAGCAGCAGCAAAGGGAATTTCCCTGTTCCCTCTTAACAATAAAACCCTTCCCCAGCACACAAGGAAAATGCCTGACTTCTCTACCAACGCTGTCAAGGACCTCTGTGGAACACCGCCACTAGCAAAGGCTACTTCAGGGCAGGAAGGGAAGGGAGCACCCTGCTACAGTGCCTTGTACTGTCTGAATACTTAACACAAAACCACCTGGGATGTCATTGCAATTCTGACTGATGCTGAGAATGCAGAAACATTCCCTTTCAGCCCAGTTCCCTTGCAACTGCACAGCAAAAATTGCAACTTCTGCAGACAGCTCCTGTTTTTGTGCACTCCTAGTGTAAGCACACACCTACTTGTTGTTTATTTATGGAGCTTTCTGCCACAACAGGGGCTCCAACAGTCATACCTCAGTTGATAGGTCCCTCTTTGATATGGATAAGTAGCACCACAAGCACCAGAAGCTAAGCGTTTCGTGCTCTACCATCACAGGCTTCAAAGCCCAAATGAGGGTGATGGTAGGATTAACAGACACAAACCACACAGTTATAAGGAAATTATGCTGCTAATCTTGCTGCAATAAGCCTCTTCCACACAGGGCTGTACATACACTTGTCCAAGTCTCTATGTATTAAAGAAGTTAATTGAAAAATATAGCAGGCCTTGAAACTGCCTTCATTTGTTTGAGGAACTGTCAGGCACAAGAAGTCAACTATGCGGCCATAGTCTGCAGAGGTTAGATGTTGTTCCAGGAACCATTTCCTCAAAGTCACTCCTTCCTCCATATGGTTATAGACACCACCCAAACATAAGGAGTTACAAGAGTAATATAGAGGCGGGCATTAGTTTGGTGCAAAAATAGATAATAACTTTAAATGTGTTCTTTCCATATTTTAACTGGATTTACAAATTTAATACAACCAAGGCCTCTGACTTGGTCCTTCTACAGTCCAACAAACTAAAAATTGCTTAAATACATACGGGACTTGTAAACAGACAGAACATAGTGAAAATAATTTGATTTCTAATGGTACCTTTTTCCATGCTCCCTGGAAGCCGTGTAAGCACAATAGCAACACTTACCTGGCTATCATAAGGAGCAATGCTTATCCACCAGAGCTCAGAAAACACACAAGAAAAATAACACACTACTGATGATCAGCAGTAACCTCAGCATCCTGTGGTCTGGTTATCTCCAAACTTGAAGCTGGCTACTTAAAAGCTAACCACACACAAACTGCCTAGAGGGACCACCATTTAGCCAACATACACAACCTGCTGAGGATATTGTCCTAGGAATGCACATAAGGGATCAGAAATACTGTCAGAGGACCATGAGGAACTATACACACCAGAACATAGTGAGTATTATGCAAATACAATATCATCTGCTGATGCTGTCTGCACTAGAAGTCTCAACAAATAGTTTTCTGTCACACTCTGGACTTTCCATGGATACTGTTTGAAAAGCCTGTCAGCAGTCTACATCGGACTGAAAAAAGGCACAAAAGCATAGAAGGCAATAAAGCCACAGACTGTTTCAAATGCCAAGATATGCTTTTGGATCAACCAACTTCAGCTTAAATATAAGACTGAGAAAGAAGGCCAGTTAGGACAGTAAGGGACACTAATCACCAATTAGTACAGCACCAGTGTATCACAGAGAATGGCATTTACTTCACAGAGAAACTGAGGTCTGTAATGCTTTTCCACTGCTTTCCAGAAGCAGCACTTAAGCTTCCCAGGCATATTACCAATACCTGTCACTAACTCTCAGCAGACATAAAACAACGTAAGAATCAGGCACTGCATTTGTTTGAGCAGAGTAACCACTCCATGCCTGTCCAAGGCTTTTACAGGTGCCACCAGGCTACAAAAAACTGTACTTATGTCATATAATTAATACCATCATGACTTTTATTTTATTTTAGCTCACCTGCATCTACAATGCATTTTTCTTCCACAGCAGCAGAGTCCTACAGCCCAAGGGAGACACTTATACCACAACAGCCATAAATTAGATACAGTTAAAAAAGGCAGCAAGTACATGTAAAAGCAAAGAATCACCTCTGACTCCTACTGATGTCTGAACCCTGTCTTATTTTTTCCCATCCTTTGCATTCTTTTGCTAAAGTTATCACAGTTAGGTCAAAGAAGAATAGAGAGTCCTGATGTCACAATCAGTGCCTCAAATTAATGTATTTCTTCAGACCTTGTTGGTTGAGGTAAGGAATTAAAAGGAGAATCAGAGTCACATCCTGGCCTCCTCTCCGGGACAGCTCAACAAAAAGGCGTAATTTCTCCACTCCAGATTAACAGTCAATTAAAGCCTCACTCAGGATTCCTGGCTACTTTGCAGAATGGTGATGTGCATGCTCTTCTCTGTCACAAAAACACTTCTGCACACAATATGGTAATGACCCTCAGTCTAAAATACCTGGTTTTGACAAGACAGGCAGCAACTTTTATCTGCTACAGTGAAGGCAGATACCTGTAAAGACCCTCCTCCCAGAAGGAAAACGCCAGTCAAGAGCTGCAAGAAATCTCAGAGAGGCTCCACGTCTCACAGAAGACTGTTACTTTGCCTGTCAGGCACATACCGCGAGCAGGCATACAGCACGTTGCCTCCAGAAACGCTGCTGTCCCCAGCCTGCCTGAAGAATCTCTGCAATTGAGAGGCACCAGCATGGCACAAAATAAAATTAAAATCAACAAGCCGCTATTAACAAACTAAAGAGCTGGCGCGTCCCGTCGCTCTCACCGCGTTCACAGCCCTCACGGGCTTTCCCTAAACGAGTCTGAATTGAAGATGCAGACGCAGGCTAGGCCCGGAGGCCTGGCGAGGCCGCTCCCTGGCGGGGAGCTGCTCGGGGCAGAGACCCCGAGAAACAAGGCCCCGCAGCACAGAGCGCCCGGGGGGCACGGCCGCCGCCCCGGCCGCCGCTCGGCGCCTGGCGCCGCGCTCCTCTCCACGCTATAGC